GGTACGGGCAAAACCGTTATATATATAATCAACTTTGATATGTCAAGTTGGGAACGACGAATTTTAAATCCCACTGGTACAAACGTGTTATAGAACTTCTAGTTTATGTCTGCAGTCAGGTTTTTTGCACAGCCAATCAAACTTTGGCAACTGAAATTTTTCCTTTTTTTTTTCCATGCTGCAACGTTTTAAGAAAAGTACACCGTAACATGGAAGCACCCATACAATCCGTTGCAGACTGCTATAACAAGTCTTGTGATTGGTCAGATTGCGCGAGATTTGTGACGTAACAGGCCGGCCATATATGGTAAAACTCTAGACGAATATGTGCATGGGAAGTGAATATATGGGGAAATTTGGTTTCATTTCTTTTCTCTTCGTATGTTTGTGTCTGTCAACATAATGCGTGGGATTGCATATACCTGCATGCAGGTAATGACATACCTAGCTTTACTTTCGCTTTCCTGGATCCACATGCTTTTGTACGCATAATTCTTTTAAATCTATTTCTTTTGTTAACAGCTCTCCATCCTGTCTCGTAATATATATATATTGTAAGTTTTTTTTTCTTTTTTTCCCCATGTTGAGAGCATTTATGTTAGTTTTACCTTTTAAATAAGTTGCAATTTGTTTTGTTATACCTGGTCAAATAATATAGGTTTTCCTGCGCAAAAATATTTAAGTCGCTATTCAATTTAGAAAATCCTAGGAACAGCAGTCAAATTCGCACGGCCTCTCTACGGTACTCGTAATAAGCATGCGATTTCGTAAATAGGCAAGGATTTTTGACATGTGCATCGTTTGTCATCGAAGTGTAATTTATAAATTTGAAATTTTTGAGGTTTGAATAATTTATTCAAATTACATCATGAAGAAAACGTGTTTCACTGGCAAAGAAATCTCTCTCACTACATTAATCACCTTGGTGGGAGAACCTCTTATTTTATGAGCTCAAACATCGAAACAAAATGGCAGAGCTCGTGCTCGCTACACAAGAACATCCAATGTTGATCGTGGTCGTTTGATTGAAGCATTTGAGGGAAATGGTCAAGATTACTTAGAACTGACAGTCAACCTTGGAATAATGAAGATTTTGGCTTCGTGTAATCTGAAATTCTCTACTTTAAAAGAAAAAAATAAAAACTCGATATTATCCCAAGGAAATCATTTAACAGAAGAAAAGTGTGTCCATTTATTTATAAAGTTAAATGGAAAGGATGGGGATAATAAATGTCCAGGGCAAATATCGCCAGCGATCAAGACGTTTCTGGAACTGTACGCCTATCATAATTAATACAGAAATTTCTATTGTCTCCAATATTCAGGCTACGTACCGGTATACTTTAAAAGCTTACATTGCGAATATGAGCGCCCATTGACGAAAATGAAAGTAAAATATTTTGGTACGAATCCGCCTCCTAGTCTCCTAGAACAAAATTGAGTGACCTTTGTGCATCATGAAATGGAATGATACTGCTCCTAAATTTAATCCTTGAAAGTGCACGATTCGACGTCTACAAACGAAATTGAATGCGCCAAGTTTCGAAAATGAACCACGGGAATAACGGGCTTCTCGAAATCGCTCGAAAGTGAATGCACGTTCACGAATTTGAATGCCGTTTGCACTAATTCGACCGAGAAAACCTGTATTAGTGATCACATAAACGCGAGGGGAACACCGAATATTAATGTTGTGCGTCTCTACACAGTCGCACTTCATTAATATTCAGTGTTCCACTCGTATTCGTGTGATAAACAATCAACACCTTGATGAATATTATGAGGGAGTAGGAACTTGAAACAGGGTCGTGCCCACTGCCAGGGCAACACGTTGTGCTCCCCAAAGCGTAAGAAGAAAGTTACCTCCTTAGAAGTGTCTCGTGAATAACATGAAGCGAAAAACAAGGCCGGGCTTAGAGGATGCGAACGGATATCAGTTATTTC